ATATATACAAGTGCATGGCAATAGTTGTTCATGTATAGTTTAAACATATAAATAAAATTGGAGTGTCTGTTTGTAATATTGAAATAACCGTTTTTTACTACATGTATATGAATATAACTACGGTACATACACCAATATAACATTTTTTCCAATTTTTGTCTGTCTGTCTGTAGGTTTATTTTAGAAAAATAATGTGAAATTCCACGCGAACGAAATCGAGAGAACAGTTGTTAATATAATAAATGCGATAATTTGTGACTATGAATGGATGTTTGTTACTCTTTCACGCAAAAACTACTGAACGGATTTTGATGAAACTTTACAGTAATATAGCTTATCCATCAGAATAACATAGGCTATAAATTTAACAGCTGGTAAATATATAATTTTAAAGTTTCACAGGTGCGGCGCGCGTGTCGTGTGAAACCACAGTTCATATGTGTAATACAACATAATTATAGCGAGCTGTATGTTTTATTGCTCCCGCCATTTTATATTTTATGATAGAAAGTTTTAATCGGCTAGTTACCGTAAAATATTGCATATATCTAATACTAGCTACACGCCCCGGCTTCGCCCGAGTGTACGTGTATTATACATATAAACCTTCCTCTTGACTCACTCTATCTATTAAAAAAAACCGCTTCAAAATCCGTTGCGTAGTTTTAAAGATTTAAGCACAGATAGGGACGGACTTTGTTTTATACTATGTAATGATATATAAACTCATGTCATAGGTTTCTTGTTTATACTCCTCCGACACGGCTGAACCGATTTTGATGAAATTTTACTTTATTTTTAAAGGTGGTAAGGGTGGTATTTTCTCGAGCACAATAGATCTATGTAGGTCGCAGTGCCAAGGTGCTACACATCTGACAATAACCCAAAGAAAAGGGGTGGTAACCATAAAAAAAATAACATTTTCGACAATTTTTTTATCATTTTATATTATGCGGCAGTATACAATACATACAACCCCAAATTTTCGTCTTTCTTGCCATCAACCTTATTTTTTTATAGCGATTTTAATTTCTATGGCAAAACAACGTTTGCCTGCACAGCTAGTATGTATATAAAAATCTCATGTCACAGTGTTAGAAGGCCATATTTCTCCGAAACAGTTTAACCGATTTTGATCGAATTTTATACGTGTACTTGGTATGTTTAAAAATAGATTTTTATCTATTTTTTTATCCCTAAATGATAAGGGTGGCTCATTTGAATGTTTGCTTTCGTATTGGGTATTTTTCTGTATGTATGCAATTACAAAAAATAATGTATTTTAATCAGTAGACTAGTACTCATAACATAGACTCCCCTTACGTTCAAACTAGATGGCGTGTGAATTGTCATAAGTTAAAAAAATACTTGACCACAGCAAATCGTGATACGTCGTATGTTTGTATGTTAATATGTTAGTAGGTAGTAATTGTTATGTGTGAATAAAAAAAGATGATGAGCCTATACAGTATGAAGGTCACACCGGTCACGCGCGGTCAATTATGACATACCTTATCATAATTTAATCTTTAACATGAAGTCATAATTATAAATTGAAAACAATAAAAAAGACAATTAATTACTTGAACATTTTTGATATGAAACAACATACAACCTATCAAGAAATCACCAACATTGCACATTACCTATATTAGTGTTAATAATCATAGTATTAACATCGCGCATACTGCCATGACGTGGTCGTCATCCTACTGCATCTGCACATCGTGCAACACCCCCTCCGATCGATCCCCCGTCCAATTCAAACGGGGACCGATGTTACGACGGCCTGAGCCGAGGTTCGAACCCCTAGCGGTGCCCTCAGACTAAATTCGTATCCGTCAGGCGGGAGTTGGCCTTCAGCCGCTCCATAAGTCCTTCCTTTGGTTTGGAGTGCCATCTGCACTCGCCCCCTATCGTCCGGTGAAGCTGTAAAGGCCAGCTGCGGCCAACAGCATTAGAGTAGTCCGAAAAAAAAACCGTGCAATATTTGTGTATCTGTGGCGCATTGCGTTTGCGCGGGAAAACTAACTACAAAATGGTTTCTTTTATAGAATTTCTAATTTACTGTTGTACTCCTGATTACTATTTTTTTATACTGGCCTACTTCTTATATATAAAAGTCTCGTGTCACAATGTTAGTTACCATACTCCTCTGAAACGGCTTGACCGATTTTTATGAAATTTTATATGCATATTCAGCAGGTCTGAGAATCGGCTACTATTTATTTTTCATACCCCTAAATGATAAGGGTTGTCCACCCTTAACCCTTAACCCTTGTTTTTTATTTTTAGGGCAACATTTTTTTTTGCCATTTAACAATACATACAACCCTACATTTTCAGCCTTCTATCCCCAATCTCTATTTTTATATAGCGTTATTAATTTATATGGCAAAACAATAGGAAGTGCAATACAATAGAGTTTGCCATGACAGCTAGTAATTATATGTCTGAAATTTACTTTTATTAAAATAAACTACTTATATACAACAAAACATATAAATACAACCCTATAATGATACGCTAACAATTAGTTTAAATAAAGTTTACTAAATCAAATAAAAAAATATTTATTCACATAGGACATTTTAGCCGCTTATGAACGTAAAATTTTTTGTATTTATATATTTTCCCTACCGTCCAGTTCAGTACACAGATTCAATTGAGAGTTGGTTAGAAACTTAAAATTCATAGCGCTGACAATATTATCTGATTGCACTAAGAATGAGTGCATAGCGATTTCTATGTTATAGTGTAATTATTTATTTAAAAGAACAACACACAAGTGTCTTGCTCATTATTCTTGTGATGAGTCTGCGTTCCGAATGAGTGTTAGAATAAAAAATATGACTATTCTTATAGATGATTATGGAATGATGCTCCCGCCTGCGTTAACGGTTTACGCTGGCGGGGCACCAGTTGAGGATGATAAGATGAGCATGAGGTCAGGTCAGTTAGCCCATCGTGGTAAATTCACAATGAATTTATCACGATGGTTTCCAGGGAGACGACATTCTCCAGGTCAAGTCTCCAAGAGGTCGACCTGATATGGTACATTGCTAGCAATGGAGTTATTAGTCCATGCGGGTAAATGATACGATGTTGTTGGTTGAGACGATGTATATTACAGATGATAATTGATTGACAATATGTACATTTTTTTTCAGACTACTCTAATGCTGTTGGCCGCAGCTGGCCTTTACAGCTTCACCGGACGTTAGGGGGCGAGTGCAGATGGCACTCCAAACCAAAGGAAGGACTTATGGAGCGGCTGAAGGCCAACTCTCGCCTGACGGATACGACTTTAGTCTGAGGGCACCACTAAGTGTTCGAACCTCGGCTCAGGCCGTCGTAATATCGATCCCCGTTTGAACTGGACGGGGGATCGATCGGAGGGGTCAACACTCGTGACCAACGTCAACACCCGGGGGCGCCGGTGTGGAGCGCCCGGGCGCGCGTAGGCGCCCGGCTGAATGCGCGATATTGTGTGTTTGAGGTCGTCGCCTTCGCCGGCGAGGACGGTGTCGTGTGTGTGTAAAAGTGTGGTCGGGGTGGAACGGGTGGACCCGTGGGGAGATTGCCTGCCGTTATGGGGTCGTCGGGGTCAATGAGAACGTCCCTCGGGCGACGTTGTCGCGTATATCGGATAATATGTACATAAAAATATTGATCTTATATACTAAATGACAATAGGAAAATGTAAGGTGGGGTGACACAGTTTAGACACGGCAGCGCTCAGTACACAATATTGAATTTGTCTTACTAGCCATTATTAAATGCAATTATTATTTTGATGTATCTAGATAACTGTGTATCTAGATACATCAAAATATATGCTTGTATTGAGTTTATTTGAATAAAGATTATTTCTATTTCTACTTAAAACACCATATTTCTTGTACTGTATATATGTAATAATAATACTCCTTCGACAACCTCGGTGGTTTAGTGGTTTAATACACTGCCTTACTTCCAATAGTCGCGGGTTCGATTACTCGCACGGCACAAACGGTATTAGAAAATAAAATATCTATTTATTTGTATCAGTTATCTAGTACCCATAACACAAGCTTTAGCTAGCTTAACTTGGGTATAGATGGCGCTGTGTGAATTGTCCTGAGATTATTATTATTAAAATAGTTTTTGTTTTAATTTTACGGAATTGGAAGGAATATTGCAATGTTTAATTTGTTGTATTAATAAAGTAAAAAATTGTTCAGAATGTATTGTAAATTGAATTTTGATAGTGACGCCACGGAATGTTCGACAAGAAGTGAAAAAATTACGTTCTAGATGTTGTATGCGTTCCAAATTTGAATCTTATAATTTTACTCGCTATTCCCGCGACTTCGTCCACGTAGAATTTAACTTTATTTTTCTAAAATAAAAGCAGCCTAAAGAACTAAAAATTATTTTGTTCGTCTTAATTTATTCGTTGCATTGGGTACTGATAGGTTCAAACTAATACATTTACATCCTGCATCATCCCTTATTTTATCCCCATGGGGGTTGAATTTATCAAAATCTTCATCATAGTAGCTCCAATCTTTAATTTCAGTTCAATCAGTCGAAAATCTAAGAAGATTTATACAAACTTTCATCCTCTATTTTATCCCCTTAGGGGCGCAATGAATTTATCAAAATCAAAATCCTTAGGGGATGCCTACGTCATAGTAGCTTTATGCATGCAAAGTTTCAGCCCGATCGGTTTAAAATTGACAAAGTTTTTCTATGTATAGTATATATGTATTTACGAAAAAACCTAAGTATTTGTATCAGTTGTCTAGTACCCATAATACAAACTTTAGCTTAACTTGGGTCTAGATGGCGCTGTGTGAATTGTCCTGAGATTATTATTATAAATATGGTTGTATATGGTCGTAGTATTTATTTGTTTTTATTGCATAATCTTTAGGTATATTTGTTTCCCATGGTATACAACAAGTGCCTGCAATAGACCTACATGGTAATACCACAGTTTGATGTGATCGACTTACCGTGGTGGCGTGGTGGGCGGGCAATAGCACGACGGGTGTGTGGTGCTTCCTAGCCTTCCGCACGCCGGGCCGACGGCGACCACCCGTGGTGGTGGTGGTGAGGGCACCCTGGTGGCGACCCAGCCAGTGCGTCACCAACTTCTCCTTGCTATTCGCGCTGCCGTACTCCGCACCTGACGCCGTAGTGTCTGTACTCTCCTATTGTACAAACAAATGATTTACCGTTTACTGTTTATAAAGGAATCTGTACTAATATTAATTGCGTAAGGTTTTACAACAAAATACCAGAGTCTGTTATAAATCTGCCTGAAAAAAGGTTTAAATATCATATAAAATACTTCTATAGCTTAAAAGCTTACTATAAAATTGAAGAATTCGTTAACGACAATAATGTTTTTATAGAAAAACTTAAAATTCATAGCACTGACAATATTATCTGATTACACTAATAATGAGTGCGTAGCGATTTCTATGTTGATTATCGCATGCCTCTTACTTGTTATACTGTAATTATTATATAAAAAACATCTATTAAAAAGAGCAACACACAAGTTTCTTGCTCATTCTTCTTGTGATGAATCTGCATTCCGAATGAGTGGTAGAATCAAAATATACTAAAAGTGGTTGTAAGGAGTTTATTTGAATAAAGATTATTTCTATTAAGATGAGGTAAAGTTTGTGAATATTTGAGGTTGTAGGAGATATGTGTGATTGTAATAAATATTATTCTATTCTATCCTATCCTATCCTATCCTATCCTATCCTATCCTATCCTATCCTATACTATACTATCCTATCCTATCCTATCCTATCCTATCCTATTCTATTCTAATTAATGGGGTATTCCAATTCCAAATTACGAAGAGGAAAACTTTTCTGTGGATGAGCTAAACGAAGGTATAGCTTAAAAGCAGTTTAAATCTCTTCAAGGGGAAACCGAGGTTTACCCATCCGGGTCCTGTTTATTATTCCAAATGTATAATATATTTTTTAGATTTTATTTTATTTTGTTACTGTCCAATTACATTAGTTTGTAATTTTGGCAACTTATTGTAAATTTTTATGATTACTTTGTTGGCAATAGTGTAGAACTTAAGTGCTATCGTTGTCGTGGATCTCTTATTGTATTAATCTAAATATATATAACTCAAAGGTGACTGACATAGTGATCTATCAACGCACAGCCCAAACCACTGGGTTTTGGTGTATGTACCGTATTTATATTCATATGCAAGTAGCAAAAAACGGTTATTTCAATATTACAAATAGACACTCCAATTTTATTTATATGTATAGATGTCAGTTATGGTAAAGTTTTAATACAATATTTCAATGTATGAAAATGATGGTAATATTCCCATACTCGTGCGTTGAACAGAAGGTCAACGATTCAGTCAATTCGGATTCACTGCAAAATCGATTGTTCACAAACAATCGATGGAAAGCTACGCATTGTGGCATCGAGCGACGGCAGTAGGCAATATTCTCAACTGTCATAAAACAATGTTTACTATTATCTTTGGGATATCTATTGTGTGAGTTGCAGGGGCGGATCTACCTACTGGCTGCAGCCCAGCGCCCCGTAGATATAAAGGGCCCCAGCCCCACTGATAACAATAGGCGATATTTAGGTTAAACATCTATAATATTAAATAACGTATTTTAAGGTTGGCAACCCTGAGATCAATCAACCCATGTGCACTTGGCACATCTATCGAAAGGAACGGGGAATTTCTGGTCGCTTGTTTTTGGTCGGTGTATTTTTTTAGTTGAGTAATATAATTAGGGCCCTAAGTTTTAGCCAAACAGTTTTAAACAAACTTTCATCCCCTATTTTATCCCCTTGGGGATAGAATTAATCAAAATCCTTTCTTAGCGGATGCCTACGTCATAACATCTACCTGCATGCCAAATTTCAGCCCGATCCGTCCAGTGGTTTGGGCTGTGCGTTGATAGATCACTATGTCAGTCACCTTTGAGTTATATATTTAGATTATCAAACAATAAGACATTCTTTCCGCCGATAAGCAGACCGTTCAGTAGCTTATCCATTAGATTAACATATAGGCCATGGGTGACCAACTTGATTAGACCCAAGATCTCCTATCAGTAGCTTATGCATTAGAATAACATATAGGCCAAGGGTGACCAACTTGATTAGACCCAAGATCTCCTATCAGTAGCTTATGCATTAGAATAACATATAGGCCAAGGGTGACCAACTTGATTAGACCCAAGATCTCCTATCAGTAGCTTATGCATTAGAATAACATATAGGCCAAGGGTGACCAACTTCATTAGACCCAAGATCTCCTATCAGTAGCTTATGCATTAGAATAACATATAGGCCAGGGGTGACCAACTTGATTAGACCCAAGAACTCCTATCAGTAGCTTATGCATTAGAATAACATATAGGTCAAGGGTGACCAACTTGATTAGACCCAAGATCACCTTTCAGTAGCTTATGCATCAGAATAGCATATAGGCCAAGGGTGACCAACTTGATTAGACCCAAGAACTCCTGTCTACTATTGAAACTCTGTGGGACCAATTACATACTTACTGAAATCTTAAATGAAACAGCACAGTTCAGTACATCATCACGGAGCATTTTTTTATTTTATTAAGAGAGAAAACATATATGTGAAAATTATTCTTAGTAACTAAGTACTTATTTATATTAGTGTGAGTATTGCGTCTGAGCATCTTCCACTAGTTTAGCATAATCAGGTTTGTAGGTGGGAAATTGGCAACCTTTTTTACGGTTACATTGCGTAGTGTGGTCTACGTATTTATATTTTTTGCCTTGCCACGATCTATTGGACTAACAGTCGCGATCGACCTATTGGCCACCCCTGATATAAACTATATTTTTTATTGAAATTTAACGCGGATGAAACCGAGGGCACAACTAGTAAAGCATAAAACAACGATTGACACTGACCTTCTTTTTCTTCAACGTCTCCCCCTGCAGCTTCACCTCCAGGTCCTTACAAAGCTCGTGGTTTCTAATCTTTTCTTCGAGAACCTTCTTTTCATCGACGTGTATCACGTACGGCTGAGTTTTGAAGGTTGGATCGAATTGGTTGTGGTCGAACGCCTGCTTTGGACGGAAACAGGGGCATATACGCTTGGAGAGGTGGTATATGCTGATGATGCAGACCAGACAGTGGACGCTGGCGATGATGAGAAGGGCTATGTTGGTGAGTACAGGCGTCCATGCTTCCATTTCATCCTGGTGACAATAACAAAGGAGACTTTTAAGTTTTTTAGTCTAAAACTCTTAGCCGCAGCTGGCCTTTACAGCGGACGATAGGGGGCTAGTGCAGGTAGCACTCCAAACCAAAGGAAGAACTTATAGACCGGCTAAAGGACAACTTTCGCCTGACGGATACGAGTATAATATGATGGCCCGAATTGGCTAGTGTAATTTCGAACCCCGTTTGAATTGGACGGGGCATCAATCGGAGAGGTTTGTAATTTGTTCGTACGTACGGGGCCAACTAAAATCCAGCCCTAGAAAACCATGTTTCCAACACTATGGTCAGTGGTCCCCATTAACTCTGGTGTAATGTATGTAAATTGTGTTTGTTTTTTTTTTATTTCATTATTATTATGTATTAAGTGTCAAAGAATTATATTTTGTTCTATTCTACGTACATAAAAAATAACTCGTTTATTTGTGAATTAGGGACAACCAGCAGATGTATGAAACTGCTTCGTAAAATCTGGACAAGAGTTTGTTCATATACAACGCTATATTATGATTGAATATGAAATATAAAATACATATATTGTAATTTATATAAAAAAATATATGACATTTTTTTTAGGACAATTCACACAGCGCCCTCTAGAAGCTAAGCACAGCTTGTGCTATGGGTATTAGACAACTGATAGAAATTCTTACATACATACATAATAAATTGAAAACACCCAATACAAATAATCGTACTCATGAATACAAATGTTTGCACCGTTGCATCGAACCCGCGACTATCGGAAGTAAAGCGATGTGCTTAACCGCTAGACCACCGAGAGCAGAACCAGACTACAATCAGGCAGATGACCTGACCAGTTCTGACCTCTAGCTATAAATACCCGGCTGTGAGATCCACAATTAAAACTCACATTTAGTTAACACGCCAATTTTTATATATCACACAAACAGTGGTCGAGAAATGCCAGGATTAACACATTCAAAAGACCTAATATCGGGCTTCTCGACCAAATACTCCAATAGATTACTGCTATTGAGTAAAAACGACATATGCATGATGACTAGGGCCCTCACAGGACACTGCAAATTAAACAAGCATATGGCTAAACTAGGCCTATGCACGACAAGTATCTGCAGATTCTGCCAAACTGAAGAGGAAACGTCGCTTCACATCCTATCTGGTTGTAGCCCACTCATGCATAAACGAAATATCTCCCTTGGAAAGTTTACACTCTTTCCCGAGGAGATAAAAACCATCGCTCCTAATAATCCTTCAATTCTTGTCCCTGACGGGTCTAGGTAGCGAACTCTGAAAAGGGCGAGCACAATAGATCTATGTAGGTCGCAGTGCTACAGGTGCTACACATCTGACAATAGCCCAAACAATCCAATAAAAAAAAAAACAGTGGTCGATTGTTATGACTATTTTTATATTCGACAGAGTGTAGAGTTAGTTGCATGTCAATTAGAAATTGCAAGCAATATAAAAAGATTATATATATTTTTATATTGCTTGCAAGTTCTTCTAAGGATGGACGGTTAAGAATTGGCTGTCATATGGTAATTTTTAGTGTCCGAAAATATTTAAGTAACACAAACACTTTCACATAATTTTCATGCCTGTATGGTAAACATTGCTGATCAATCAATTTCATGTAACATCTTATTTACTGTACCAATATTTCGCAAATAAATTATTTCATTCCATTTCATTCCGTTTCATATCGTTATAAGCAATCATACTCATGAATACACATATTTGTACCGTGCGAGGAATCAAACCCGCGATAGTAAAGCGGTGTGCTAAACCACTAAACTGTTATCATTAATTTTTCAAATTTCAATTCAAATTCGTTAAAAAAAACACGCGGACAGATACAAGCAATTATACTCATGAATACACATATCTGTACCGTGTGAGGAATCGAACCCGCGATAGTAAAGCTGCGCTAAACGACTAGACCTCAGGGGCCGTCAAATAAATGGTTTATCTATCTGTCTGTATTCGTGAGTGTAACTCGTGTATTATTACGGCTAATCGGCGGATGATCATAATAGAACCTTGACCACATAGATCTTTGTACACCTCTGACACTTTAGCAGGTACATACACACATACATACATACAAAATTAATGGATGTATGACTCATGTTACATTCACACGATACAGGTTGTAATAATTGAATAATTTAATATGTATTATTATCTATACAGAGTGTCTATTTGTAATATTGAAATAACCTTTTTTCACTACATGCATATGTATATAAATACGATATATACAACAAACAAACATTTTTTACAATTTTTGTCTGTCTGGCTGTTTGTTCCGGCTAATCTGTGAAATGGCAGCACCGATTTTGACGGGACTTTTTTTGGCAGTTAGCTCCTGTAATAAGGAGTAACTTAGGCTACTTTTACTTTAGAAAAATAAAGTTAAATTAATCGCGGGAACAGTTAGTTATTAATATATTACTAGTAGACCCAGCCACGCGTTGCTGTGGCTAAGGTTCTTGAATAAAATAATATTGCGACTATAAATTGAGATGTGAGCTATCCTATCTTTCAAGTTGGATCAAATTGCACACAATGTGCAAATCAAATTTGCAATCGATTCAGTTGTTTATAAGTCCATCGCGGATAAACAACTTGACACGTAATCTAAGGTATATATATATATATATATATATATATATGCGATCCTACTTTCCATCAGGTAGTCAATTAGCTTGTTTGCGGTTAATACAAAAACAACCCTATTTAAAGTGGTTTAAACTAAAAATCAATTATCTTCACTCAAATATTGATATTGAACGTGCATTCCGAAGCCGTAAAACAACATGGTTGGGGAAAAAATATTTTTGATAAATTAATTTATTTAAATATTATTGTAATGGTCAGTCGGCCGGCTCAGTGGAGCGTGTAACTGTGCTTTATGGGTATGGGAGTCGATTCTAACTTTGTTATGCTAAAATTGTTGTGACACCACTAATGTAACGGGCGTGCCAGATCGTAATTTCGACAATACGTTTCTCGGCTGCTAACTTCCAAAATGGTTAAAATGCTCAGAACATGTACTGCATACCTAAGTCATAAACAAGCAATCTATATTCGAACTCTGGAGTTGTCATTTGTTTTTTATTAATTTCGTATTTTTTTTATTTTCCCTACTTTTGTAATTATCGCATGCCTAATCCTTGTTAATGTTTGTTCCACACAAGTTTCTAGCGTCTTCTTCTTGTGATGAGTCTGCGTTCCGAATGAGTGGTAGAATCAAAAAATGTGACTTATATATATATATACCAAAGTACTTTATACGAATAAAGATTATATCTATTTCTATTTGGAGTAAAGCTAGTTTCAGCTTTAGAATATTTCGAAAAATGAATAACTTAAGTTTTATTTACTGTTATAGAGTACGAAATATCGTATGTATATGTTATATACCACGCATTTAGTTCATGGCAACACGCATGTCCTACCACATACCACCATTTACAACATTGTCTAATGTGATTAGCCATTCACACGTTGTCAAATGTGACTGCAGAGGTGACCTTCGACTGTCTATACACTGCACCTATTTGTAGAATGTATTTACGCTCCACGTACTTACATACCATTGCTAGAGTTTTATGCAACTTTATGTTTTTATTACAGTCGATTTTTTAATCTCGGAGACTATTGACAGGTGTAAATGTCAAATTCCAAGTAAGTGTAAAGTGGCTGGACTGGCTTGGAGAAGGACAGAGGAATGTGGAGTCTGTTGGGAACAGTATGGGGAGAAGGACAGAGGCACATGGAGTCTATAGGGACTAACATGTGGAGAAGGACTGAGGAATATGATGTCTATAGGGACCGATATGTGGAGAAGGACAGAAGAATATTGTCTATTGGGACCAACATGAAGGGAAGGACAGAAGAATATAGTCTATTGGAACCAACATGAGGATAAAACTGAGGCACATGAAGTCTATTGGGACCAACATGAGGAAAAATCAAAGGCACATGGAGTCTATAGGGACTAACATGTGGAGAAGGACAGAGGATTATGGAGTCTATAGGGACCAACCTATGGAGAAGGACAGAGGAATATGGAGTCTATAGGGACCAACATGGAGAGAACGACTGTCCAGTCCCCTCAAACAGTGCCCGTTCACGAGTATGACGGATGATTTTATCGTAAATTTAGTAATGACATATTGTAATTTAAATATGTAGTAATGGGTGAAAACTGTGATCGGTGCAGCCTATGTTGTAAATAATATAAATGACGGTAGATTTGACATATCATAAGAGTCTGTAATAGTCCTACATGAACGAAGATATTTTGTATTTGAATTCGAATGACATAAACATTTAATTGTTGAATAAAGTAAAATACGTACTATAATTGTTGAATAAAGCATTTATCTATCTATCTATCTATCTATCTATAGTCACAATTAATTAATTTTCCACCTGGGGAGAAGTTCGTGAGAATATTTTTTTTGTCTAAATATATATAACTCAAAGGTGACTGACATAGTGATCTATCAACGCACAGCCCAAACCACTGGATGGATGGATGGATCGGGCTGAAATTTGGCATGCAGGTAGATGTTATGACGTAGGCATCCGTTAAGAAAGCATTTTGTCGAAGGATGAAAGTTTGTATGAAACTTTGTCAATTTTAAACAGATCGGGCTGAGACTTTGCATGCATAAAGCTACTATGACGTAAGCATTCTCTAAGAAAGAATTTTGATAAATTCCACCCCTAAGGGATAAATTAACGTGAGCGAAGCCGCGGGCAAAAGCTAGTTTATTTATTTATACAAATTGCAAACATTTCAATTTTATCTAGACACGCGGTAGCGTGTCAAAGCCGAGTTTCAAGTAAACTGGCAAGCAGCACCGTGTGTATATTTACACGAACCATTTGGAGCTACTTTTGACCCCCTCATAACTCAAAAACTCTTTCACACAAACCTGTCAAATTTGGTTCATATATTGAGACTTGCGAGATAAATATGTGTTCCAAATTTCATAAACATATCTCAAACGGTTATTTAGATATTAATGTCCAAAAATCGTCATTTTTATCACTGATCAACTATAGATCAAAATTATTACCCACTTCCAGATGACCTAGGAAGTTCAAATTTGGCATGCAGATAGGTAATTAGGTGAATATAAAGGAAAAAATCTGAAACTGGTAAATTGTTATCATTTTACTACAATTTTTCACTTTAATTGATTCTATTTCAACTTATACTGGACGAATAATAAAATTCTATGAAAACGTCGATAGCCACCAATTGACATTGATCCCTGGCGAAATATCTCATCTTGTACTGGACAGAAACTAATATTGTATGAAAACGTCGATCATTACCAATTTACGTTGACCCCTTCACATCAGTGTCGATAACTAGCAAACTTCAAATATTGCATTGAGCGGTAAACACTAGTTGCTATAATTTAGATTCTGTCTAAAATATACTCGTACTTATAACTAGGAGTATAGTCGAATTTCGTATTTATTATGTTATTAACTGAGATTTGGTATTAATTATTGTTTCAATATTTAGCGCACATCGATAGTGTAAAATCATTATTTTTATAAATAATTATTAAATAATAGGCATTTCGGTATAGGACGCCGCGGCGGCGCGGCGCCGTGTGGGAGCGGTGCGATATAAAACTCAATGTTTTGTTTCTCGATATCTAACCTATAAGGTTGCGATTTATGCTACGAAATTCATAGCTTTCTTAAATTATACTTATATATTTGTGGTTATATTATTATTACATTATTTTAGTAAATACGTATGGTATAGACAATAGTTTAAACCAAAAATTAATAACAATTTTAGTATAGTTATAAGTAGGAATGTATAGTTAACTCGAGAATGAGAACTCATTGGTAACAAATTGTTTTCTTGAGAATTCAATAGATAACAGTCAATTTGTTACATAATCGTCTTTACGAACTATAACGTGTCAATACCAAGTTTCAGATATTAAATAATGTATATGTTGAAAGAGAACAAATCCGTATTTGCTTAACATATGCTATTACTATCCACAAATCACAAGGCCTTAGTTTTAGCAGTCCTCTTCTCAACATAGGCTCTTCTATATTTAATAAAGGGCAGGTTTACGTTGGACTCTCCAGAGTTAAAACCTTAGATGGAGTAGGTACGTCTTAACAATTTAGATCCAAGTCACGAGAGCTCTATTGTAGAGTACAACCATCTGTGGACGTTATACCGCCCCGATTTGCCCAAAAATTCCTGATACTGAATTGGCAATGCACTTGAACATTTAAAAGTTACAAGAAAATATAGAAAATAACACAAAAAAAGACAATTATACCCCGTAAATATAAGAAAATACAGTAATTTATCAAAAATAATTTGGTATTAATTTAGTTATAAATAAGTAGGTACCTCGTATAATTTATGTACAAAAAGTAATGATATCCCATCAAAAACATAAATGTGAAATGATAGCCGAGTTTAATATTATGATATATACATTGATTGTTGACTTCTACGACAAAAGAGATGAGATCTAAATGGGTGCCAAGTTCAATGGTCTGTCCTGAAATGTATTTATAACAATATAAAATATCATTTCTTCTTATAACTTAGGATAATATACTGTAGCCTAAGGTCTAACTTGGCTAGTTTTCATATACGAAATATACTGTAGCCTTCGCAAGTTCTAAACATGTTACTTGTCGGTTCCTATTTTAATATTAGTAGTAACTAGCAATAGAAAGTAATAATTGGTATATGAGAACTGGCCAAGTTAGACCTTAGGCTACAGTATATTATCCTAAGTTATAAGAAGAAATGATATTTTATATTGTTATAAATACATTTCAGGACAGACCATTGAACTTGGCACCCATTTAGATCTCATCTCTTTTGTCGTAGAAGTCAACAATCAATGTATATATCATAATATTAAACTCGGCTATCATTTCACATTTATGTTTTTGATGGGATTGGCATTTACTGCAAAGAGCAACAATTTCTAGTCAACTTATGCAAGTGTTAGCTGACCAATGAGACAGTAACTGGTGCATAGTAATTCGTTTATACACCGGATTGCAACAATTTATTGATAGATTACATTTGTTAACAATTGTAATGGTTGGAAGACGATTCTGCGGTCTACTGACCAATTGTGAACTAAAGGTCAAGAGGTTATATTTACTGTTTACGGCAAAGTTATTTGACCTATACGATTAAAATTATAATCGTCTAAATACCTCTATATAACTCAAAAGTGACTGACATAGTAATCTATCAACGCACAGCCCAAATCACTGGACGGATCGGGCTGAAATTTGGCATGCAGGTAGATGTTATGACGTAGGCATCCGCTAAGAAAGGAGTTTGATTAATTCTACCCACAAAGGGATAAAATAGGGGATAAAAGTTTGTATGAAACTTTGTCAATTTTAAACCGATCGGGCTGAGACTTTGCATGCATAAAGCACTACTATGACGTAGGCATCCCCTAAGAAAGGATTTTGATAAATTCCATCCCTAAGTTCATGCACGGGATTTTCACTTAATATTAGACATACTTACATACATTAGTACACAATGAAAATAAACTGTCTTTTAAAAAAAAGAGATGAGAAACTCAACTAAATATCTCGTTCATAGAATAGAAAAGAATAGAAAATCATTTATTTAAAAAAATTACATTGAATCACTTTTGAATAGTCATCACATTTTTTTTAATCTACCACTCATTCGGAAAGCTGTCTCATCACAAAAAGAACGAGCAAGAAACTTGTGTGTTGCTCTTTTAAATAATTTTATTCTTACTTTACATTTTTAAGTTTAAATGTGTGAATACAAACTACCAATTAGCACTAATTCAATTAAATATTAACTGGTTAAACAATTAATAAGAGGAAATCAATCATAGTGATTAGAATCTTCGATTAAATCGAAAGAAATTTTCGCTTTGATTTGATATATCACAAGAAGTATAGTCATACTTGTTATATCAAAAAGAATACTAGCAAAATCTTTTAAGGACGGACTGTCATTGAAGGTAATAATCTAATTTATTATCTTGCTTGTTTTTAATAAATAACACCCTGTGAATTGTCCTGAAATGTTATTATTTTGGTCGAGTAAAACTTGTGTGTACCTCAAAACTGGACAGCGGTGGTGAGGGTGCCCGCATGGAGTCTCTCTGAAGGCCGGTGGCTGCCAACACAGCGGCGCTGTTCCCGCACGCGAGGCATAACAGCGACAGCGCCAGGAACGCCGTCAGCAACGGGCTGTTTCTGTAAAGACAGATAACATATTGCAACTTTTTTTTACATATTGAAATGTAAACTAATGGTAAGAGGCAACAGTCATCATGAGCACCAGCATGGCAGGTGGTCAGGTGACGTGAGTGTAGTAACACGTTTGTATTTCTGAGGATTAGGTATGATATCTTTTTTTTTTATAACTCAGGGGACAAACGAGCATGCGGCTCACCTGATGGTAAGTGATTACCGCCAGGAGAATTGCAATTACGTTGTCGGCCTTTTAAAAAGGAATAAGCTCTTTTCTTGAAGGTTTCAATATCGTATCGGTTCGGAAATAACATTGCTGGAAGGTGATTCCACAATTTCCACAATATCTTGACTTACCTTGTAATGTTACTACCATATACATATATATAAGAGTGAGCCTTAAAGTTAAAACACAGTTTATTTATTTATTTATTTATTAGTATACAAAACAGACTACAATCAATATAATTAGGAGCGTGTAATTCGGTACAAAACTGGATTGTAATCCAACACTATGTATGAATAAAGATAAATTATATAGACGCATTCAATATACGCTAGATAAGGTTATATAGTGGCGAGTAGCGACCACGGACCGGAAGACGCAGCGTGGGTGGCCTCCAGCAAGGAGGACCGACGATCTGGTCAAAATCGCTGGAAGGCATTGGATGCGAGCAGTGCAGGACCGATCGTCGTGGAGATCTTTGGGGGAGGCCTATGTCCAGCAGTGGACGTCTTCCGGACCGCGATGATGATGTTGATGAAGGTTATATATTGAAAAGTAAACTAAATAGAAAATGTATAACTACGTAATGCAACGAATCGTTAGGTTGACAAAGCAAGCTGCTTGGCGGGAATTACGTGAGACCACAGATAAGATATCGCATAAAGCAATTCTTAATTACAATCAAGTACAGGTAAAAATCAAATAGATTAATGTAAGAGAAAATGTAAACTAAATGGAAATTGTAAACATTGGACACCTGGCGGATTCAAGCAGAGTTTTTTTTTATGGATGATAATGGAATGGAGCGTCCGCCTGCGCTAACGGTTTACGCTGGCGGGGCACCAGTGGAGGATGACAAGATGAGCATGAGGTCAAGTCAGTTAGCCCATCGTGGTAAATCCACCATGAATTTATCACGATAGTTTCCAGAGGGAACCGCGTGGTAGTCAACCTGACATGGTACATTGCTAGCAATGGGATCATCAGTCCACATTACTAACACACAGGGTTTATTTTAGGTTTATTGGACGGGGGATCGATCGCAGGGGTAGAATAGAAGCGCCACTTGGGATTTCTCTCCCTGCCTCCTAAGAACCCGGCACCCGTACGGTGGTTCCATGGAATGCTGATACAAGTAACGAACTGTCTGGTGAAGGTTCAATAGATAAGTACTGGCAAGAAACCCAACGGAATTTCTTATTTTAAAACAGTTTATTTACATTGTGTTTTTATGTAGGTATCAAGTAATCGTTTAGTGTGTAATAGGCTTTGCTCAAATTCAAATTCAAAAATCATTTATTCATGAAGAACATTTTAGCCGCTTATGAACGTCAAGTTTTACATTATAATTGTTTTCCCTACCGTCCAGTTCGGTATATAGATCCAATTGAGAAGAACTGGCAAGAAACTCAATTGAATTACTTTTTTTTTTTAATCCAGTTTATTTACAATGCATTTATATAGGTGTCTATGTCTAACATTAAATGAAAATCCCGAACATGAAAACTATTGCCATGCACGCTCGTCATTCAAGTAATTGTGTGTAAATAGTGAGTAATAGGCCTTGCTCAGTAAATATGATGTAACAGATGTTTTGAATTTATTTAAGGGTAATTCCAATATATCCTTTGGTATCTTATTGTAAATTTTTATACCCATACCCATAAAAGAATCGTTGCCTTTTTCTAAAATTCTATAAGTTTCAAGTCATATAAATATATTTTTATTTTTTTTTTAGTCTTACCATTAGGGCTGTCTTGATGCTGTAGGTTTAACTCTGTACATAAATAGTACAGTGCAGTTAATTACTCATCTCGTAGAGTTACTGACCGTTTTACTGTATACTATGCATATTTAACTAACGATTACATTAACTGCCGTCTCCTGGTCTCCGTGTACAGCTCATACATTGATGTTTTATTAACTTTACCGTTCACTATAACATAAACGTTACAATTTTAAAAATATATTCACGACTTTTATCCCGGATGGGGTAAACTGTGGCATTATTGACTGTCGATGTCATATGGAATGCAAACATCGTTGGATATTTATTATAATTATGTTGAAATGTTTGAAAATTCTCAACTTTGTTTCCAGATTCTCAGTTGAGAATTTTGAGAATCTTGGTTCAAAACTTTTAATAGCTAATACTCAATACATATCCCGTAAGAGGTTATACATGTATAGCCACACTTATATTAAGTATATTTATATATCACAATATATATTATACTAGCTGTACACGCGACTTCGTCCGCGTGGAAGTTAACTTTATTTTTCTAAAATAAAAGTAGCCTAAGTTACTCCTTATTACATCAACTACCTGCCAAAAAAAGTTCCGTTAAAATAGGTCCAGCGATTTCAGAGATTAGCCGCAACAACAGACAAAGCTACAAAAATTATAAAACATGTTATTTTGGTGTATGTACAGTATTTATATTCATATGCGTGTAGTAAAAAACGGTTATCAATATTACAAATAGACACTCCAATTTTATTTATATGTATCCACCTGAGATCTTCTGCTTCCTTGCACTATCCCATTTTATATTGTAACTTCGCGACGCCAGGACCATCTATCCTTTTTTTTTTTGACTTGGAGAAAATCCCTCATGGAGACCCGCCGGCCCCGGGGGAAGCCCGCGGGTACTGTGAGACTCCTACTCACTAAAAACTCCAAGATGTCCCTCACCCAACGCCTAAGCCGAAGTCGCGGGATCGATGACAGTCAACCGCAACTCCGGCAGCAGGACCTGGTTCGGATCCTGGGTTGGCGTATCGAGCAATTTTTCCCTCTCCATGAGATTTGTCTATGAGATTAAAAAAATGTGATGACTATTCAAAAGTGCTTCAATGTAAGTTTATTTAAATAAATGATTTTCTATTCTATTCTATTCTATTCTGATCCACCAGGGAAACGTTCCAGCTGGGGAACGTCCTCTAACTCTTTTACGTTCGGGTAGTTGTAAAGTTTTTTTTATATCCACTTAAGATCAGCAATCAATAATTCTGTATATTAATTACAATTATATCGATCGTCGATCAGCACCTGATACTTAGTAAACTTTCACCACTGTACATATAATAGCGATGTTACCACCACACTAATTATATGGGACGGTAAATTGATGCCAAGCATGTATGTACCATCACGAGTTTTTTTATAACAAATTGGTGGAAGTTCATTGACTCATAAACTGACTAGAGTCGTTATAGAAAAGCGTAAGTGAATTCTTAAGTTCAGTTCCCTCCCACGATGGGTAGGTTAGATTGTTTAACCGTTTGTGCTTGATTTTTAACTTAATTCGTTAATTATTAACTTGAAAATAGATGTTTTATTTATTTACTATTATTAATAGTACAATATCACATATATATATATATATATATATATATATATAAAAGTAGCCTAGGTGACTCCTTATTACATCAGCTACCTGCCAAAAAAAAGTCCCGTCAAAATCGGTCCAGCAGACAGACCGACAGACAGACAGACAAAAATTGTAAAAAATGTTATTCTGGTATATGTACCATATTTATATTCATATGTATGTAGTAAAGAAACGGTTATTTCAATATTACAAACAGACACTCCAATTTTATTTATATGTATAGATAATTAATTTCTAACAAGATTGTTCTTTACCTAATTTGAGTTTGAACTAACACTTCAGGTGATATCAAAATCAAATTAAAAAATTCTTCATTCGTGTACAAAATTTTAGCCGCTTATGAATTTCTTTTATTTATAATTTTTTCCCGTACGTCCAGTTTAGTATACAGATTCAATTGAGAAGAACTGTCAAGAAACTCAATTGAATGACTTTAAAAAAATAGCCAGTTTATTTTCAATGAAATTGGAATTGGAAATTATTATTTAAAAGAATTATAATGATTATTTAAAAGAGCAACACACAAATTTCTTGCTCGTTCTTCTTGTGATGAGACATCTTTCTTTGATTAAAAGAATGATAACTATGACTATTCAAAAGAGCTTAAATTAAGTTTATTTCCATAAATGATTTTCTATTCTATTCTATTCTAAATGTTTATTTAGAATCAAAACATCAGTGCTTATTACCAACTAGTGACCTGATCCGTCTTCGTACGGATGCATTACAAATCTTTGATTGGTATGTATTGGTATTTGGTTTGTTCAAATCAAATCAAAAATAATTTATTCATATAGAACATTTTAGCCGCTTATCAACGTTAATTTTTTTTTCTCTTTATTATTCAAATAACGGAACTAATTATATAAAAACAATAAGCCGCAAAACTGCTGAGCAGTTTGTCTGCAGCAAAAGTGCTTAACTTAATACTTATTTCTAATCTATATATACACACACATACATTCACATAAACACATTCCTGTAGAATCAGGTATCTTATGCCATACAATGTTTGTTTACAAAAAAATTTAATCATTTCTTTTTGAATAATTTTTTGGATACATTATATTATATATTATATTTTTTGGTAACATATTATAATATTTTGGAACTAGATATTTTCTAGTTCTTGATCCGTAATAATTACAGACCTTAGGTACAATGTATTCTTTATTGTTAACTTTACGGTAGTAATTTTATGAATAACATGATTTTTAAATTTATTATTTTTAAAATTAATATTAATAATTTATTTTTATTTTTTATATCTAATAATCGGCATATTCTAAACAACTCAATGTACCTATTTTGCTTATATTTATGTCTCTTATTTTTATCAACTAGTAGCTTCATAAATCTTATATATTTTTTTCCCTACCATC